TCAAGGAGCGTGGTGAAGAAAGAAGGGGGTTGGACGAAGAGGAAGCTCGCAATATATTCCTCGAGATCACCGAGGCCGTACGATACCTGCACAATGATATGAGGCTAGTACACAAGGATATCAAGTTGGATAACATATTGCTGGACAAAGAACAAACGTGGAAACTTTGCGATTTTGGGTTAACCGAATTCCAAAATGACGCCAACGGTTTTGGTGATCTTTCCTCGAGCGACGATATCGCCGGTGGTTCATTGGCGTATTGCCCCCCGGAACAAATCCGATCCAAGGCACCATTAAAGGATCCAAGTGTTGACGTGTGGAGTCTCGGGGTTGTCTTGTACGCGATGGTCACGGGCCAATTGCCGTTCATGGACGATTTCGAGCCTCGACTGCAGCACAAGATCATAAACGGACGATACGACGAAACACCGTTATATGACGTGGGAGCTAGCGACGAGCTTAGAGACCTGTTGAAGGGCATGTTCCGAACCAAACCCGTCGATCGATTGAACATCACCCAAGTGTTGGAACACAAGTGGTGCCAGCGGTGAGTTCATCGATTGGAGGAGTTTAGAAAAAAAAAACCCCCAAAACAAAAAAGACTTTCTTCTTCCCTTTCGTGTAAAATTTTTTTTCTTCCTGGGTATGGGTGATTTGAAGAGGGTGTTACTTTTTGAACATTCCTCATGTACAATTTTCGTTTCGCGCATTCCCACGTTGGTTATGCGATAATGAAAATATATATATATAAAAAAAAAAACCAAAAAAAAAACAAAAAAAAAATTATGAACAATGTTTTACCATTTTTTTGCGGATAGCATACCTTATACCGATTTACTCGGTGACTTTGTATTTTTACTATTTTATTAATCATCAAAATTGCCGATTTATGATATCCCTTTTCCAAAACTTTCCCCTGTACATTTCCTTCATTTGTATCTTTTTTTTTTTTTCTTTGTTCATCACCCGGGATATCGCAAAGCACATGCGTCTCGACTAAGAGTCGCATCATTTTATCATCCCCGTACCCATAGCATGCATGTATACAATATAATAACCCCCACCACAACACATGCAGTATGTTATATACTGGATATATATATATATATACATCAATACAATGTTAGTGTTACATACAGTACCATTAAAAAAAAACAACACCAAATACATTATTGCTGAATAAACATGGACGTAATGATATGATGATACATTTATTTAATTAGAAAAGACATTTGCCCTGCATATTGGGTCGTTTTCTGTGCGAGATAGCGCGTCAAAGAAAAGGTCGCGCATTTTAAAAATCACATGCCAAAAATTGTCAAATCCCATAATCTCAACCATTGTTGAAATATTCGATTCAGGTTCCCTTTCGTCATCAAGAATCAAGACAACTTGAAAGTTTGCCTGGTCGTCAACTTTTTGCTTAGTCTTACTTTGTCTATTTGCGATGTATTTTGATGACTACACTGGTCAAGTTCAGACTAACTCGATCGGCCGCATCCACGCCAGATAATTATACTCGTGGATTATTTGGCACTAATTGCGGTGCACATTTCATTACAAATTTTCGAGGAACATGGTGAATAATTAATTATTCATACTAATCCCGTGGAGGAGGGACAAAAAATTCGAGGTCTGTTCCCCAAATTTATTTAACAAATAAATAAATAATAAGATGGACAAATATCATTTTTGGCTAGGCATTGCCGAGTGGTGGAAAGTCATTTTGATAAGTCATTGAATTTGATCTACCCCGAGGTGGGTGGTTCCGGTTACCCCGTAACGCCCAACCATTATTATTATTTCTTCTTCCATCTCCCGACCAAACGTTGGCATTTGGATGAGAATGAGCTTGGGCTCTCGGTTCATAATTATGTCCACCCCTACGTGTGGGACCACCACGATTGCTATAACGTTCGCGAGAATTATGATTCCGGGAGCCACCAGCGTGAACACTCAACTCATTTACGTTGACACTCCTATCGTGCTTTACCATCGTCTCATTGTCTAATCTGAACAAGATCTCGTCGATCACCCGTTTGTCATACGAATCGCCGGTAGGTTGCGGTTTTACACAAATTATCGATTCGATACCTTCAATGTGTTCCGGTGATTTCATCCATTCCTGAAATTTCTCAAGAATCTCCACACCTTTTTGCCCTTGCACATCCGTAGGATGGTTTGTCCTCGAGATTATGCGCGATGAACATTCCTTTTAAAAAAAAAAATGACAAGGATTGTGTTTTTTAAAATTGATTCTGAAAACGCAAGGTGTGAAAAGATAAACATACCTCCATAGGCGTATCCATTATGATGGCGTCAACGGGAACGTCAAATTTCCAGGCTATCTCGACCCAAGTTTTTCTTTGACTCTTGTCGAAGTTAACCCTATCCACTATCACACTCTTACCCTGCCAACAAATCGCAAGTGAGATGAATCCACGATCGATAGTAAAATCTTCAATTCAGGACGAAATAAAACACCCCACCTCTCCCAATTTAACCCTTGCCAAATCTTCGCAGGCTCGGCGACTTCCCAAATCATCTTGATTGACCCTACACCAATCCTGATAGGTGGATCTCAAGGGTTAGGGTCATGCACGCATCGATCAAAGTGAAATGTTTGGTGTACTCACATTTGGATAAATTTTGCATATATTTCTGGCCAAAGTTGATTTGCCTAAATGTTGAATGAAGACAATTGGTTAGCCTGAATTCCTGCCAACGATTAATGAGCAACGAAAGAAGGTCACTCACCAGATCCGGGAAATCCGACAAGAATCAATAATCTAACTTTTCGTTTAGCACTTGCATCTTCACTGAGATCTCTGGAATTCTCTTGTTGACTTTTATTGGCATTATCATCGGTTATAATCGATTTAACTTCATCTGTTCGTTCGCAATCTCTCACAACTTCCGAATTCATTTCGACGTTAGAGTATCAAAATTTTGGGATATGAAATTCCCCCCCCCTCTTTTTTTTTTTTAACGAGGTAGAGAGTAGAAAAGAGGTCTTCATTTAAGTTTGACTTATTTATTCGAATTTTGGGGATTAACATTTTGCTGCGATTGTGCGCAGTTGTATTTAATGTGGAATGCGTATTTACTTAATATCAACCTTTGGTTCCTTAATTCAGAAACAATGAACACAGAATTTCATTTCCATATTCTTCCTGTTGTGCGTTGATAGAAAGCAAAGCAGATATAATGCCATATTCCGTTAATCTCAAAAAGAAAAAAAGTTACAAATACCGCAGTATCAAACATTTAAAAAAATTAAGTTTTTCCGTTACGTATATAGTCAAAAAATTTTTTTTTGTGATTCCCATAGTTTATTAAAAAATATTTGATGATTTTTTTTAAAAAAAATTCTCTTTCTCTTTTTTTTTTCAAATATTACTTATCATAAAACTGTTTACAGTAATGGCAATAAATAATAACAATCAAGTGATTAAATAAACTTTAATCAATTTTTATTTTTAGAATATCAAATTTTAGTTATATATCACTTAACACCTATCATTTATTTTTTTTAATATTTTGTCTCACCTCCCTTATTGTTTATTACTAATTTTATTCTTTTAAACATTGTTTATATTAATTTGTGACATAATTCTACATCAATCTTTCCCTATTCTTTTTTATTACACTTGTAAAATTATTTTACAAAATCATTTTTTTTATATATTTCAAAGTTAATTCTCTTTTTAATTATTTTTTTTCAATAGGATTTACAAATTTTCAATTGAATTGAGATCTAAAAATATAAATAATTAATTGAATATATATGAATATTATTTCTGCAATAAATTGATCAAAAGTTTGATATGATATTTAGAATTATTGTCTTGTTAAAATATTTATCTATAACTTAGGATTCTATTGATTTGTTTAAATAAATTTTGGATAAATATTTTATGATAAAGTTCATTGTTAATGATTTTTATGAAAATATTATAACTAATAATTTTCTTGTTATAAAAAAAGATTTCATATAAACTTTAAACAGATATTTTGTAACTTTTTAAGATAATAACAATATTTTAGCTTTATAATAATAAATCTATATTATATTACAAAATATTTAAAAAATAGTTTTATCCAAAAAATCATTTTATTCTATCATATATTTTGTATTCATTGGTTAAAATTATGTTATTTGACAATTGAATTATTGCTGAATTTAATTAAATTTAATAATAAAAATATTGTCAAATTCTTTTTGATTACTATCACTTGGCATATTACTATTTTGACAATAAAGTAACAATCAAAAATCCGCAATCAAAAATTCAACAATCAAAAATTCAACAATAAAAAATTCAACAATCAAAAATTCAGCAATCAAAAATTTGACAATTAAAAATTTATTAATAAAAGTTTAACAATAAATTATTAAAAAATTCATTAACAATTTATCAAATAATTCAATAACTATTCAGCAAAAATTCATTAAAGGTTTGTCACAAAATTATTTATTAATAATTCAATAAAAATTTGATATTAATTTATTAATAATTTATCAAAAATTCGTTAACTACTATTTATTAAAAATTCAGCAACTATTTATCAAAACTATTCATTAAAAATTTATTAACAATTCATTAAAAATTCAACAATTATTTGTTAAATTATTCATTAAAAGTACATTAATCATTCATTAAAAATTTAACAACTATTTATATATTATTTAAAAAAAATTTATAAAACTTGTGAAAAAAATCATTTATATTTATAAATTATTTAATATTATTTACATAATAATACATAATTAATAAAAAAATCTCTTTCCGCTGATCCTAAATTTCCTAAAAAATTTCCTTTTTTTTGGCAATTTTCTTGGAAAAACCAGAAGCCAGCCACTACACAAGACAAAAGTCTTTTAAACAAGAGAGAAA